GTCAATTTGATCAGAAATTAATATTGCCACTCCTGATCTCTTACTGTTGCCATTTGCTTGATATATCTTTTTCCAACCTTTGATTTTTAGTCTATTTTGTCTTTGGCTCTAAGGTGTGTCTCTTGTAGACAACATATTGATGGGTTCTGTTTTCTTATCCAATGTGCAACTCTCCGTCTCTTGATCAATGCATTGAATCCATGGACATTCAGTGTAATTATTGACAAGTATGAATTCATTGCTGTCATTTTGTTATGTGTTTTTTCATGGTGTTCCTGGTTTCTTTGTTATGTCATTTTCTGTGCTGAACTCATTATGTTTCTGAATTGTGTTAATATTTCCTTTGTTGCTATTGTTTTAGTATTTACTTAATATTTGTGCTTGTCCACTTTTGTTTTTTATTGTCATGTGAAGGTTTATCATTTTTCTTTGAGATTACCCTGTGATTTATAATTTTCTCCCTGAGATTAGAACAGTCCATTCTATCTTGCAACTCTCTTGACTTCCGTACCATTTAGGAGTTCTGTAACTACACAGTATTTTACCTCTTTTGGGTTTGTAGTTGTTCTCACTTGTCAATTGATGTCTCTGGTTCCCTGTTTACTGTCTTGTAAGCTTATTTTACTTTGTATATGCCCATAGCTGTGGTTTCTGGGTTATGTCATCTAGTGTCTTAATGGTCAGTTTTTATTTGCTGTTTTTGGTTCTCTGTTCAAAGGACTTCCTTTAATATCTCTTTTAAGGTTGGTCTGGTTTTAACAAATTCCTGTAGTTTCTGCTTATCTGGAAATCTCCTAATTTCACCATCACATTTGAGGGACAATTTTGCCGGGTATATAATTCTTGGTTGAAAATTTTTGTCTTTCAGAGTTTTATATATACCACCCCATTGCCTTTTTGCTTGCATGGTTTCTGCTGAGAAATCAGTGCTAATTCTTACTGGTTGTCCTTTGTAATGACTTTTTGTTTTTCCTGTGCTGCTTTCAGGATTCTTTCTTTGTCTTTGGTTTTGATGAGTTTGATGATGATATGTCTTGGTGATTTTCTTTTGGGCTCTATCCTGTTTGTGGTTCATTAGACTTCCTGAATGGATATATTCTCATCTTTCATCATATCAGGGAAGTTCTCCTCCAACAAATCTTGGACAATTTTCTCAGTGATTTTCTTTTTCTCTTCCTGTTCTGGAATTCCAATGACATGTAGATTATTCCTTTTGATGGGATCTCACATGAACTTTAGGCTTTTCATTTTGTTTTGATCTTTTTTCTGATTGATCCCTTTCCAAGAAGTATTCAGGTATTTGTGTTCAATCTCATTAATTCTGTCTTCCATTGTGTCAATTCTACTCCTTTGCCCTTTCAATGTGTTATCTATCTCTGACAATCCAGTATTAATCTTCTGGATTTCTATCTGTCAATTTAGAAACATTTCTAATTTTCCATTTATTTTGTCATTTTGTTCATGTATTTTCTTCCAAAATTCTTCTAGGGTTTTGTCCATGTTTTCCTTGGTCTGTCTCTCAATCCTTTGAAGATACCTAAATATAATTCTTTTGAATTCCTTATCAGAGAGTTCCAATGCTGCTTCTTCCTCAGGGAT